CGCGATTAGAATCTGTATTCTACCATACCGATTGGCCAATACTTAACATTTTTTTTTTTAATATCACAGGTGCATATGCTGCATATCTACACAAAGTGTGGTGTATGGAGATTCTTTCGTAATGATCAGTGGAAATTTATTGTTGATAAAGAAAAGTGTGGTAGATTGCTTACTTTGGAGTCCACTACTACTCTTGAAGAGCTAAAATTGATGGTTTCAGAAGATTACGGGATAAGACATGGTATGTATAATGTGGAATTCCGTTATTTGCCTACTGATTTGATCAGTGCAGGAGTTCCTCCAGTTGTCATTACAAACGATAGGCAAGTGACAAATTTGGTTGGCTACTTGAAAAAGAACACTACCATTCAGTTGTGCGTAACATTTAAAGCGAAAATTGATTTGAATGCACTGTTAATTTCAATCGAGTTTTACAAGATCGAAATCAAACTTTGTAGGTTCATACTTTTGACATTCGCTCAATAAATACAGGGTCATTTTCAGCTTGCCATAGATCACCTACAATTTTCATCCTCGCGTGACCAATATTGCTATCATTTATCAACGACATGTCCAGCCCAAGTAAGTGACATTCAATAAATTTGAGTGATATGCTCCACAATCACACGATGATTTATTAAGTCCTTGCAGCACCTCTGTTTTTATAACAGTATATGGAACCACAGTTAACTGTTTACGGATATGAGGTGGCTGAACTTCCTTTACGATGTACGGATATCAATTTTGAATGGTTCCACGTCTTTTGTATTGCTCACACCGGACGAACAGTCAAATACTTCAATTGTTCTTTGGATAAAGTTGATGCACAAGAAAATCTAATGATTACCATTGACATGTACGGGAAAGTACATACGGTCAACATCCATGGCCCATCGTTTATTTATCTTCCCATGAGAAGGAATTTCACCGTTGCCGTAGGCTAGGATTATACTATTCTATTGTATCCTCGACGGTTTTTTGCAAACTTCTCATATTCATTTTTGATTTGCATGCTAAACATACAGTTCATGAAAAAGCAACACGATATGAGCAATCGGCCTAAAGATGTATTCTCGCGGAATAAGTACATCACAGCATCCATATCCTGTTAAAAATGTTTGTTCGTTAAAATGAATGTAACATACTTCTTTAACAAATTATGAAATCAAACTAAAACTGACCGTGGTGTGAAACCATGTCTTAGGTCCTATGACTCGTATAAGGAAGACATCGTTAATAACACTTGGACCCATTTTGATGCTCCTGAAAATATACAACCATAAACATAAAATTCATTTGTAAAGCTAGACAGTCGAATTATGCAATGAAAAATTATTGATTGCCTTACACTCGTTTCCTAGACCACTCGAGCATACTTTCAAAAGTTTTTTCAGCTACGAACACCAATGGATCATCTCTAATTTTGTTTCTACCATTGTCCGTCAGTTCTGTATCAGTAAAGAGATCATTTGTCAGCTTATCACCTAGAGAAGGAGTATATAGGTCTGGACTTTCAACTTTAACCGGACGCAAAAAAACTCCTTTTCCAACTGAATTCTTTGGACTCGGTAAATAATGTGTGTCTTAGGCTTCATATGTCTGTGAAGGATCGAACCTAGTTACTATTGAATCTTACGAGAGGTGTCCCATGATTTTTTTTAGGTACTCTTGTGTACCCAAATTCTGATCTATATCAGAATACAGACCCAAAAATACATCATTTAGTTTCACCGAGACATCACTAGTTACTCCATATGTGTTTTTAACCTGTTAATTGAAAAAAAAAACAGAACATATAATTAAGAACAAAATGATGCAATGGAAAAGAACAAAATTACAAAATATTTTACAAATTACAAACCGTTTTACCT